AGGAAGTATTAAAAAAAGATGAAAGGAATATATATCGACTGTATTAAGAATTAGTTGACACTGAAAAATTTCAGGAAGTACCATATGAATAAGAGACAACGGTAATAAGGAAGAAATTCAAGCTGCATTCAAAGCATTGACAAGAAATTAGGCCCCAGAATTTATGTGATACTGACAGTATTTCAACTGACAGATAAAACCCTGAACATGCTTACCAATCAGGAAATTTGGAAAACAGCTACTTGGCTGACCAATTGGAAGACATCCATATTTATTCCCATTCCTAAGAATGGTGAGCCAACAGAATGTGGAAATTATCAAACAAAATCATTACTATCACATGCAAGCAAAATATCAGTGAAGTTTATTGAAAAACTGATACAACAGTTCATGGAGATAATTTCCAGACGTTCCAGCTAGGTTTAAGAGAGACTATGGTACCAGGGATATAATTGCTGATGTCAGATGGATCCTGGCTGAAAGCAAGGAATACCAGAAGAATGTCTATTAGTGTTTTATTGACTATTCAAAGGTATAGTCATTGTGTGGATCATAACAAATTTTAGCTAACACTAAGAATGGGAATTCCAGAATACTTGATTATGCTCATGAGAAACCTATACCTGAGACCAGGAGGCTGTGGTGTGAATGGAGCAAGGGAACACTGTATTTTTTAAAATTAAGAAAAGTGTGTGTCTGGATTATATCCTTTCTCCATACATATTTAATCTATATGCTGAGTAAATTATTTGAGATCTGGACTCTGTGAAGAAAAATGTGGCATTATCATTGGAAGAAGACTCATCCATCAATAACCTTTATTATGCAGATAACATAACCTTGCTTGCTAAAAATAAGGACTTGAAGTACATGCTTGCAGAAGGTTAAATGCTACAGACTTCAGTATGAGTTACATCTCAACATCAGAAAAACAAAAGTCCTTGCTACTGGAATGATAGGAAACATGATGGCTGGAGAAAGATTAAGCCTGTCACTTGACTTTGTCTTATGTAGATCTGCAATCTCTACACATGGTACCAGCAGTGAGGAGACCAGGAGATATACTGCACTGGGAAAGTCAAGGATCTTTTCAAATTGCTATTGTTGTTGATTGCTGTCAAGTCAAGCATGACCCATAGCGACTCTATGAACAAAAGACCTAATGGCTTTCCATAACTAGTGTTGTTTCTCCAAGTTCGTAGAATTTCCAGAGGCCTGTGGATGCCACTCCTGCTTCTAAACCTGTTTTACAACTGGAAGCTCCACCAAACACTGTCCCACTGGGAAACCATTATGGTATTTGATACCCCAATGGCACAATGGTCAGCATCACAGCAAACCCAGGTTACTTCATACAACACATTGACAAAGAGTGTACAAAATGGAAGAATGTTCCTCCAGTTATAACAGTAGTCTCATTTAGCAATGGTTGTCATCAAGTTGAATACAATTCATAGTGACCCTTGCACAAAAAACCTGAACTCTGTTCTATAACTAACATCATTTCCGTACTTTCATAGAGTTTATGCCTTGGAGAGGGATGTAGATGTGTCATGCTTGAAAAGGTAGGTGAAAGAGAAGAAGACCCTCAACCAGATGGACTGACACAGTAACTGCAGCAACGGACACAAGGTTGTTGGAAATGATGAGGATGGCACAGGACAGGACAGGGTTCAGATCTGTTGTTCAGAGAGTTGCGATGAGTCATAGTCGACTTGACAGCACTTAACAACAACAGAGCAGCAGGGAGTCCCACAGTGGTCCCTGTAGGTAATGTAGCTCTTCTTGCTTTCATTGTCATTTGGCTGGAACTTACTCACAGATAACCCTCCAGCAGGTTTTAGAGTATTGAGGAATAATGATGTCAGCTTGCGGACTAACGTGTGTTTGATTCAGGCCATGAGTACAGATGACAGAAGAATGGATGTCTTTGAACCGTGATGCTGTAGAAGAGTTCTTAAGATCTCATGGACTACCAAAAGAATCAACAGACATATCTTGGAGACCTATCTTGGTATAGCCAGCACGGTCCTTGGAGGCAAAGATGATTTAAACTTCGCCTCACATGCTTTGGGCATGTTGATAAGAGAGGTTATTCCTTGGAGAATGAATGGTACCAAAAGAGATGAAGACACTTGACCAGGTGGATTGACACTGTGACTGTGGCAATGAGCTTGAAGGTTTCAGAGACTGTGAGGATAACACAGGACAGGACAGTGTTCAGACGGGTTGTACATAGAATTGCTATGAGTCATACTCAATTCAATGGCACCTAACAACTACAATAACATGACAAATATGTTAGATGAAGCTTTGTCATCTTTGCTTCCCAGGAGTGTCTGGTTATACTTTTTTCAAGTCATATCTGCTTATTTTTTTGGCAGTCTGTGTGATATTCAATACTCTTCTCCAAAACTGCAGCTTGGAGAAATCAATTCTTTGTTTGTCATCCTTATTCACTGTCCAGCTCTCAGATACAAACTAGTGATTGAAAAGACCATGGTTTCATCTTAGTCTTCAAACTAACATTATTGCTCCTCAATAATTTGGAGAATTCCTTGATTACAGATTTTCTCAAATGCAGTACATCTCTTGATTTCCTGTTAGTCCCAAGGTTGTTGATTGTGGATCCAAGTAAGATGAATTGTTGATAATTTCAATATTTTCTCCATCCATTATGAGGTTTTTAATTGGTCCAATGGTAAGAACTTCTGATTTCTTGATGTTGAGATGTAATCCATATAGAAAGTTGTAATTTTTATTTTCTGCTGCTAGTGGGTCAAGTCCTTTAAGTCAGGGTTTCTATTTGTTGTACTCGACTCACTAGCAGTTAACAACATATAAATTCTACTTTCCTATATCTCATTTCAAGCTGGACAATGACTAAGGATGATAGAAGAAATCGGTGTCTTTGAGTTGTGGTGATGGAGAAGAGTATTGAATATATCACATACTGCCAAGAGAACAAACAAGTCAGTCCTGGAGAAAGTGAAGCCAGGTTGGTCCTTGAAAGCAAGAATTTTCAAACTCCATCTCACATACATTGGGCATGTTGTCAGAAGGAACCAGTCCTTGGAAAAAGACACCATGTATGGAAGGGGAGAAAGGTCAGTGCAAGACCTGGATGAGATGGATTGACACACTGAATGTGGCAATAGGAAGACCCTGGATGAGATGCAGACACATTGAATGTGGTAATTGTCAGGTGTGTTAGAGATGGTGAGGTTGGTTCAGGATAGGGAAAGGTTCAGAAATGGGTTGCTTTGAGTCACAGTTGACTCCAGGGCACATAATAACAACATAATGATGTTGTTGTTGTTGATTGCTGTTGAGTCGTTGAGTAGAGCACCACTCATAGTGATGCTATAAGCAAAAGGCCTGAAGCCTTTCTACAACTATCAACATTTATCAAAGTTCATAAGAGTTTTCAGAGGCATGTTGTTTAGAAAGTGGATGCCACTCCATACAATTCTAAAATTTCTGCCAAGCAACCTGGAGTAAGTCCTTCCTTACAAAGTGAACTGGTTGGAGAGAGGGGTGAAGGTAAGAAAGGAAAAATGTACATTGGTGAATCAAAACTCAATCTTCTGTAAACTTTTACTAAAATAACACACAAAAAGAAAGTTGGACAATGAGTAAAAATGACAAAAAAAATTCTTCCAATCTTATGTGTTGTTTTTTTGTGAGCGGAGCGGAAGGAAGACTAACAAAGCAGAATGTAAATCCAGAAAGGCTAGAAGCTCGCTCAGGCTAATAGCCCGGAGGAAACCCAAAACCTTTGTTTTTACTGGCATTCAGAAACAAAGGAATAGTTCATAGAGAAATAGAAACATTAAGGATTAAACATTAGGGTCAGGAAGGGCTGGTACAGTTAGGTAAAAAACATACATTCAAGCAAGACTTCTTTGTATTAAAAAACTGTGCTTTCTCTCGTTTTGCAACAACCTTATCAAGGGCAGGAACATTTGTTTCTACTCTCGCAAAAGTCAGTGTCTAAAGATGTATGGGAACTGCTTGTAATCTTCCTTCTCAGAGCGCCTCATGAGAGCTGCTTGCAATCTTCCCTGCAAGGCACAGGCACATCCCAAGGATACAGCCCCTTACATTCTTTGCCCCTTACATTATGAGCATGAAGTATGTCACAGGGGTTTTAATTTGTGCTTTGATAGTCATAGCGAAGTGAAACATCTTCTCAAGGGTTTATTGTCCATAGGGTTTTTGTGTAAGGGTGTGTGTGTGTGTGAACTATCTGTTTATTCCTTTACATACTTCTACGTTGGATTATTACTTTTTCCCTTTTCATTTGTGGGAGTTTTTTAAAAAGGTATTGCTCTTCCGATGGTTGTATCTATGGATCTTGACCTTTGACTTAAATTTTTTAAAAAATTACTATAAATTTTCATGCCGTTACATATAACAATATTTTTCTCCTGTCTTATGCTTCACTATTTTATTTAAGAAATTCTACCATAGTCTCTATTTTCTGAAAATGTTTTTTAGTCTTTAATGCATCTGGGATTTAATTTTTTTAATAGGCTTTGAGGTAGAAAGCTATTTTTCCCCCCTTTGGGAAAAATTGTCTCAGCGCCATTTACTGAGAGTTCAACCTTTCCCGAGTGACTTGTAATGTCATCTCTGCCACAAACCAAGTTTCCATGGAGCTAGTCTTCATCCCTCTTAGGTCTCCTCTCAGGACTCCCTTCCTCTCGTTCCTCAGACGTCATATGTCTACGGGTACCTCTAGCTTGTTGATCCTACAAGCATAAAGGAGCTGGAAAAATCCGCAGTGGGCAAAAACCGGTAGTTGCCAGGCCGTTATCACAGCGTCCCCGGACCTCGCCTGCCTCTCGCGGAGGAGAAAAACACTCTCGGTTCCAGTGACGGAATCCAGCAGGCGCCCGCGTCGCCAGGGAGTGCGTCACCACGCGCGGGCGGCCGGGGGCGGGGCCGGAGCCGAGTCACGTGGCTTGGTTGCCTACGCGCTGCTGGGCCGTGGGAAGATGGCGGACGGAAAGGGAGACGCCGCCACCGGGGCCGGAGCTGGGGCTGAGGCTTCGGCAGTAGCCGGCGCTGGAGAAGCAGCCGAGACTGAACCCATGGCTCAGGGTCATCGCCCCGCATCACCGGCATCGGGAGCTTCTGGACTGCGACCGTGTCTGTGGCAGCTAGAGACGGAGCTGAGGGAGCAGGAGGTTTCGGAGGTCTCATCTATGAACTACTGCCGGAGCTTCTGCCAGGTGAGGGGCTTGTCTGGCTGAGGGAAGAGGGGGAGGGCAGGCCAAAGTGAGTGGCCCCAGATTCGTTGCGACAGCCGGGTCGGACTAAAAGGCGCCACCGCGGTGTTTTGCCGCGCCCCCAAGTCGGGAAGGCCCCATCTCCGAAGCCAGACCACTGGCCCTTCTCTGGCACTGCCAGACTTTGGCCGTTGCCGGGAAGGGTTGCGCTGGACCAGGCGGAGATCCCGGACGGCTCCCGCGGTTCCCTGAAAGGGCCGTGCCCTGCACCCGGTGCCTGCGTCCCAGCCGGGTGGTTGGAGCGCCACTGCCCCCTGAGGGATTTGATGGCTTGTTCCTGCCTGGAGATAGATTTTTAGTAGAGTGCAGATCTTCGTACTGGAAAATTCGGATTTTCCGAAATAATCTGGAGAGATCTAGTGGGACCAGAAGGTTACCTTTGCGATCAGCGTCTTCTGGACGCCTCAAAGGTGTGACAGTTGGCTTTGAAAAGCGTCTAAGGCTCTCTGATGAGAAATTGCGAAACCAGTTGGTTGGTGGGCTTTTTGCTTGGTTTTTGTTGTTACTATTTTGGGGTGGTTTGGTTTTTGATTTTTTTTTAATATTCAGCCATTCTTTTGTCTTTTCGACATCCCTGTATAGAATAAGCCTTCGGGGTAAGCCTGCTACTGGTGATGTAGGATCTTTTAGTAGAAGAGGCTCGCCTAAGATGTGGACTCTCTTTGGCAGTTGTGTGGTCCGCTCTGAGCAGTGGGGGTCCTTACCTCTGATTGCATATTTATGGTTATGTTTAGTTTAGGTTTCCCAGATCACTTTGAGGTTTCTCTCAGTTTTCCTTACAAATACTAGGATTTGCCGTTATTATTTACGCTTCTGTTTGTTTATTAAGTTTTGGTCCCACCCATTTGCTCTCCACCTCGTGAATGTAAATCCTTTATGTTGGTATTTGATTCTTATTGAGTAGTTGGAAATACTAATAGTGGTGTTCTAAAGTTTTAGGGTTTTTCTTTGTAGTGGGCAAGGTTGGGGAGGAGATGGGGGCCAGTTTGTTCGGATGCTAAGGAGCAGAATCAGAGTTGAGTTTCCCTGAATGATTGCATTTTCCTTTTTGCTGAACCAGAAACATCTGTTTGAATGTAGTTTTGTCTTTCGTATCTCTCCTTTAGTTTATCACTGCAATTTTTATGTCCATAGCCTGCAGCATTTCTTTGTACTAGTGAATGTTAGAGTGCATTTGTTCTCTGCTGCTTTACTGCTTGTCTTTCTTTCTTAATACAATAATTCATTTCACAACAAACATTTGCTGACTCCAAATAATGATGCGAGCGGCTTTACTAAGTGTTGGACAGACATGAATGAGACTTGGCACTTAACAAGCTCGAGTTGGGAGGAAGGGGAGAAGTGATGATATTTCCAGTGCAGTTTTGGTAATTATGGAAAAGGAAGTATTGCTGTGGATAAAGTGTTAAAGGAGACCCATCATGAGACATCCCAATGTGAAAGTCAATGAACCAGTTTGAAAAAAAGAAATTAAAGGTTAATTATAGATTGTAATACATGCTAAGGAAGAACTAACAGAGAAGCCACTCTGGAATGAGTGGTCAAGAATAGCCTTTGATGGGATGGAAATGGATTATGTGGATGGAGGTGTAGGGGGGAGCCTTAATACCTAGTGCAGCCATGAAAGCACTCAGCACTAACCAAAAGGTTGGCAGTTCAAAGCCATTAACCTCTTTGCTGGTTAAAGAGGTGTCAGAATGAATTTGAAAAGATTAACAACCGTGGAAACCTTATGGGATAGTTGTGCTCTGTCCTGAAGAGCTGTTATGTATGGGTCAAGTCATCTCAACAGCAGTGAGTTGGAGGTCTATAGGTGTGGGGAGGACATACTAGTGCAATGAAAAGGTACACCAAATACTTTGGGAGAGTGGGTGTTTATATCTGGAAGACCAGTGGATTTTTTTTAAAATTTTTATTTTATTTTGTTATTTGTGTGTGTGTACTGTCAAATCAGATCTGACTGGTACAGGAGGAGATTGTCCCTCCTTCCCCGGCAGAGCATCTGGTGGATTCGAACCGTGCGCCTCTGGGATTGCGGTGCAGCTTCTTGCCACTAGGCCACCAGAGCTCCCCTAGAACAGTGGATTTTGAGTAACACTTCCAAGCTTGTTTTCCTGGAAGAATAACTAGAGTTAATTAATGTAGCCAATCAGATTGAAGCTTGTCAGAGTAAATACATGTCTATATAGTCTGCTTTATGCTTGTTAACTCTGATTTTGACTGTCTTAAGTCTTCAAGACACCTGGAAATTTGAGAGCTGAGAACAATTATAAAAAGAAAGTGCTTTTGTAATTTGCTTCTCCCCTCCTCCTGCATGAAATTGGGAAGTTTTTTTTTTTTTGCCTGAAAAATTCCCAGAATTAATAAAAAGTGTTTCTATGTTGTAATAGAAAGCACGGTGGATTGGGGTTAGTTGGATCCTAATTGTGACTTTTAGCTAAGTGACATTGTGAAAATAAATCTCTTCCTCTGCTCCAGAATGACGGGGTAGGGCTAGAGATACAGTCTGATTGTGAAATTATGTCTTATTTTCTGATTTTTATCTTCTTACTGTTGTTAGATGTTGGTGAGTCCGAAGAGACTCATAGCTGACCCTCCAGTGGGTTTAGAGCGGCTGATGGATTTCGGCCTGTCTTTAGCTCATCTCTTCACTACTAGAGCTCCAGAGCTCACGTTTATCTACTCATTATGCTTTATGTGAATTGTAGAGTAGAATTTGTGTACAGTATTTGTAAAAGTGTTTTTGTCATCATTTTCTAGTATTTTTAAAAACTTTATTACTCATTTTAATGAAAATTTACAGACTTTGGATTTCCATTCATCCATTCATTGTTGCACTTTTCTCCCTGCCCCCTCCCCCCCTTCTCTCTGAAAAGTAAAAGAAAAATTCTTTCATTGTTTTACAATCCCTTCCCCCAGGTCTACTCCACTATGAAGCCTTCGCTCAGGACTCCTGTCATGACAATAATACCTAATCACATATCCCTTTTAAAGTTTTCTCCCTCATCTGTTTCAATGCAGTATATATTATTTATCCCATCTTTCTCAGTCTCCCCTCAACCCTGATGTCAGTGCTATTTTACAACAGTGGCTCTATGCAGTATTTGTCCTTTTGTGACTGAGATACTTCACTAAGCATAGTGTCCTCAAAGGTCACCCATTTTGAATAATAATGCATGAGTTCCTTGTTCCCTTGTGTGAATATACCACAGTTTTTCTATCCATTCTTTTGTTGATGGACACTTAGGTTGTTTCCAACTCCTTGCTATTGTGAACAAAGCTGCGATAAACATGGGTGTGCATTAGTATATTTTTATAAGTAAAAAGACATTTTAAAATTAAAAAAAAAAACAAAACCCACACACACCAAAACCCAGGAGCTTCACCATCAGTTAATTTAGCTGAGTATTCTTTGTTTCACATTTGAAAGCTAGGATAAGATTTATTCATTCATTTGAGAAACTCTTAATTTTGTGCCTGATACTGTTCTAAGTGTGGAGATACTCAGACAGGATTCCTGCCCTCATGTTTTTGCGTGCCATCCAGTGTGTTTTGACTTGGTGTCTATCAGGCAGAGAAGAACTGCCCTATAGGGTTTTCTAGGCTGCAGTTTTCATGGGATCAGAATGCCAGGTCTTTGCTGTGATGGAACTGTTGTTGTATACCTTAGAGTCAGAACCAACTTGTAGCTGACCTTTTTGATGGGTTTTCAGAGGCAGTTAATTGCATGGGAGGAGATTGCCCATCCTTCTCCTGCAGAGCAGCTGGTGGACTCGAAGAATGTGCCTTTGGGATTGCAGGACAGCTTTTGCCACTAGACCACCAGTTGGTATTGTTAGTAGGTTCCAACTGCTGACTTTTTGTTAGCAGCCAAATGTTTAACCATTGCAACACCAGGACTGCTTTCTTGTACTCTAGGAACATATAATCTAAAGCTAATTAAAAAAGAAGTTGCCCTTAGGTGCCGTCAAACTGAGTACAACTCATAGCAACCTTATGAGCAACAGATCTGAACCCTGTCCTGGGCTCTGTGCCGTAATCTCATCACCCTTTGGACACTTTTGAGACCATTGCTGCAGTCACTGTGTCAGTCCATGTCATTGAGGGTCTTCCTCTCTTTTGCTGACCTTTTCCTTTCCAAGAATGATGTCTTTCTCCAAGGCGTAGTTTCCCCTAATAGCATGTGCAAATTGTGAGATGACTCTTTGCCATCTTTCCCTCCAAGTGCACTCTGGCTACACCTTCTCCAAGACATATGTGTTTGGTCTTTTGCCAGGCCATGGGATATTCAGTACTCTTACCCAGCACTGCAGCTTAAAGGCATCAATTCTGTCATTCTATGGTTTCTGGACACTAAGGTGCATCTGATACAGACCATGGTCTTTGCACTCACTTGTTATGCACCAGAAAGTTGGACAATGATTAGGGAGGATAGAAGGAGAATTGATGCCTTTGAGGTTTGGTGTTGGAGAAGAGTATTGAGGATACCATGGACTGCTAAGAAAACAAACAGATTCATCCTGAGAGGGTTAAACTGGGCTGCTCTTTGGAGGCAAGGATTCTGAGGTTTGGTCATGTTGTAAGGAGAGACCGGTCCTTGGAGAAGGACATCATGCTTGGTAGGGTGGAGGGCAGGCACAGGAGGGGAAGGCCCTATAGGAAGTGGATTGATTCAGTGACTGGGGTAATCGGGATGGGTGTGTTGGAGACAATGAGATTGGCACAGGACAGAGCAGAGTTTAGTGACATAGGGTTGCTATGATTTGCAAGCAGTTCGACAGCACATAACAACAACAACAACATGGTCTTACATGCATAGCAAGTGATTGAAAAGACCATGGTCTGATTCAAGTGCATTTTAGTCATCAAACTGGTATCATTGCTCTTCAGTAATTTGGAGCAGTCCCTGAGGGCCAACTTTCCCTGTGCAGTGTGTCTCCTAA